ACACTGGGGCAATTTTTTGCTGTCAGAACGCCTTGGTATAGAAAAACATGACCAGATCTGCCATCTGGTGTTTGCAGTTTTTTCACAACTGAGCCCGTTGCGTCAAAGCACACAGTTGAGGGATTTTTTTGGACGTTTTGTAAACATGCAACTGAGTTTGACTCCAGTAGTGACAAAAAAAAACCCTGTCCAGTCCAATATCTCGGATACTACCACAGGTTGGTGCACTATGTTTAAATAGAGGTAAAGATGCAATGGGATCTTTGTGCCCTGATTCTAAATCTTTCCTCTCTTGTTTGGCCTTTCGCAGGGTGGCCACATTTGGAAGGTGGCTTGGCTCAGAATCTCCAACATCCATGAGATCTGCTGCCTTGGCTGACCACAGCTGGTTCCATCCTGCCTTCACACAGCTCTTTGAAAATCTCGTCACGCAAGTTTCCAGACATGAACCGCTTGGAACAGCCAGTGTGCAGGAACATGTCTATATGTGTAATAGAACACTGGAGCACCATTGGACAATTAATTGCTGGCTCTGTGTCACATGACGTTTCCAGCTTGGCATTTCTTACAGTGGCCTCCAATTTTCAAATAATTATTGTTGGTGGTTGGATGGATCTTCGCTCTTCGGAAAACAAGTGTGCATGTGTTTTTCACTTTCTTCCAGATGAGATAGTTCAAGATATGAGTCCAAGTGCCAGGCTTCAAAATAGTGTACTCTCTTTTTTTGAAAATGAGAAAACTTGTCCTTATATTTAACCTTTTCTGGAATGAACTTGACCCAGTCCTCAAAAGGTACCTCAAGTTTAAAGGCCAGACAGTTTTCTTGTCCAGAGGAAATGTCACTGGAATCTACCTCTGTTTCACCATCACTTTCCTGATCAGTGATTTCCAAAACTGACCAGATGTTATATCTGTTCAGCTTCCCAAAGGTGTACAGGGCTTTTGCTGACATCTTGTCTTCTAGCTGATGACTCATCTCTGTCCATACTGGGGCAGTTGGAGCGGCTATTTTGCCATTTTGGAATATGGCTGCTTTTGAATTGCAAAGGATTTCAAAAAGTGAGTCTCTGTCTACAGATGGCTTTCGAGGCATCTAAATCAGAAGTAAAAGAAAGTATGACTAGGATGGATCAAATGATGCCTAGGCTATATAATCAGCATGGAGAAACCCAGTTCTCCACCAATATACACATAGAAATATTTGACCATTTGTTTTTATCATGGTGCTATTAAAATGTAATGTAATTAAATTAAATGCTGTTTAATTGTTTCTATTATTCTGTCTGAATATTGTTTGATACTTAAACATGTACTGTATAGCACTTTTGTTCAGTGTCCTGGCTATTTTTGAATTGCTTTATTAAGCCTAATTAAGTTTTCCTGAATTAGCTAATAAAAGCATCTGTTTCTAAAAAATATTAAATGTTTTTAAAAAAATCACACTTTCTGGCTTGTTAGTGAATTTTAATGTGTACTACATCCTGTATTAGCTTAGCATGTATAGTTTAATTTCAATTCTCTTACCTTGTTCAGAAAATACCATGGGTAGTAAAAAAAAAAATCCAATAAAAACCTACTTTTTACACTTTTTTCCAACCAAAATCTTTGTATCGATGGCAACACTGCTAGCTTGTTCGTTTGTGGAAAGACATTGATGTAAATGGTGATTGTTCTGCTCACAACAAAGTAAAAAAAATATATATAAAAATAAAAAAAATAAGAGGTTTTCTTTGTGCCATGTTTTGCCCTTGTACTAGTATTTGCAGCAGGGTCTGTGGGACAGTGGTTAAGAAGGGTAGCCCTTGGAGATTGGTGGTGGGTGTTTAAATCCTAGTGGTGTACTTATAATTTTTTTTATATCATATTGATGAAAGAAAAATATTTGTAAAAGTAACATTGATTACTACCGTATATGTTCAACAAATAAAGATTATTTAAAAACATAAAGGAGACAGGTTTTCTTGCAAAACTTCACTGAACTCATTTACAAATAAAAGGCACACATGGTATTTGAAAAAAACGTTGTCAAGCATATGTCTCAGAAACCATAGCAGCACAAACGTCAGTTTCACCTGCACAAATCAGCACAAACAAGCACTAACCGAGCAGCCTATTTGCCTCCACTTTTGAAGCTGACGGAATGTCAGCTTCACAGAGAGCTGCGAGGGAGTGAGCAACATCCGTTCAATTTAACCCTTTGATGCATAATGGTCACTACAGTGGACAGGTACTCAAAATTGTTATTTCTTTATTTTTGCTATTAAGCACAGCTGTTGAAGACTTTATTGCATTTGTGCCCCTCCATTTGGACTTCAGTAAGTCAAGCCAACATATTTCATGTTCTGAATGCATGCTGTCCACTGAGGTAGACATGTAATAAATTATTTGTAAATTAACAAAATGTTACAAAAAATATTTGTTGAAATTTGTTTCATTCACACCTATGAAAAAAATTGTTTGAAAAATCTTGGTTGAAGATTTCATAATTCATGCATCAGAGGGTTGAAAAATCTCCTCCTCCTCACCCTGACGGTGTCATCTTACGGACCCTGCCTTTAAGTACCGGACGAGGTTACCTCTGCTTTCTCAATGTCCATATTGCTAGATATGCCGATTTTTAAGGCGAAATCCCGGGAAATTTCGTCTAGAAATACAATTACCCTAACCGTGCGCGATCCTGCAGTGGCTAATCATTTTTTGGCAGCCAGTCGCTTTTTGGCACAACACCTGCATCTGTTTTGCCTTTAGTGAACTTTGGTTTGACGTCACTTGCGTTCGGGGAACTTTTCATTTACAAATCAAGCACCGAGTATATAGGACATAATAGGCTGTATTAAATCATTTTATATGGGCAGTATTACACCATGAATGTGTGCAAGAAGCAATCACTCCTTGAATTATTCCTGAAGCTCATGTTCCCGTGTCTGTCCTGGGCTCTGGCCTTTATATTTTAATCAGTGTTTTCAGGGTGGTTTCAGATAAAGCAGAATACAGAGCAGCGGATGCATTTTGCACCGGATTTTCAACAGCAGAACCCTCATTATACAACAGAATGCTAACAGCAGAATAATGTAGGACAAACGTTAAACTGCTGATGCAAATCAGTGCTTTGTGTTTGTTTTTGAAGGTGACAAGGCACTAAAACCCTAAAGCCACAAACTAGAAAGGTCAAAGAATTCAAAACTAAAGAATAAACGATCAAAGCTAAGAAGATTCAGACGTTGCCGAGTGAATCAAACATGTATCAAAGACTTGCAGGAAAGAATCCAATCCAAAACAGATTTGGAAACAAACAAGACAAAGCTGTGATGGTTTGTTCGCTCTACCTGACTTTTGTCCTAATTTTTCCTGCCTGCGACCCAGATAGTGCGCTTCGTCTACCCTCGTGCAACCAAAGCGCATGAAGAACATCATGTAAAAATCAGCAAATCAGAGAAAACACTCACAGAAATCTTTAGAGGAACTCCGGGTCCCGGACTTGCTTTGGCGCAGGGAGAAGCGGCCCTTTCTGCTCAGGAATCGCCTCATCCTTGCCCGGCTTGCTGCAGGGCACGTTCCAGCCAGCCTTTCTTCACCCCCAGCCTGGGGGTCGACGCAGCCAAAGAGTGCCCCTCGGACACCCCAGTGCTGCTCCTCACCTGAACTAACACACTACCCCCAAAAGCCTCCGCCCACATGAACAGATGGAGGGAATCTAAGAGTTCACATTTGTTGGGTTTGAGGATCGCACCTTCCCCTGCTCTTAGAGAACCAGCAGTGAAGACTAGAGCAGATGGAGGTCAGAGCGTCTGAGAGTCAGGCTCTCCATCCTGGGCGAGGCTGGCCAGCCTCAGCCTCGCTCCAAACCCTATGGCTGAACAGCGAGCACGAAACTGGGACAAACTCACTTGGTCCTGAAATGGTTCACTGCAAGAAAAGGTACTGCGAAGCCCCATTTTTCTATAAATACCTTTTCCTCTCTCACCCCCACCCTCTCTCGCTGTTGCTCATGTGGATGAAGCCCTCTGAGGGCTGAGGAGTGACCCAGAAAACATGTGCTGCACCAGGCAGGGACACTTCTGATTATAGCGTTTGTGTTAACCTCGCTACCGAAGCGCACGCCTGATGACGGACTCAAGGTTACCTCAGCTAGATGCTGCAGAGTTTCAGCGAGGCCAGTGAGCTGGGATGCTTTTGGAGCAGCAACACAATTACGTTTAACAGAACACACTCAACAATTACGATGGCGGTGGCGATTCTCTGAATTAGGTGTAAATGATGTCACCAACAGTGTAAGAAAATAGGATTTATTTTATGCAAAAGTCTTGTGTAACACTGGTTGAAGGATGAATGATGTGTGAACAGCTGAGAATGGGAACACTGGGTAACGAGTGGCCTTGGACAGACAGGCGCACCGATCAGCCTTTTAAGGGCGCTGCACTTCAGATTAGAGATAAAAAGTTTTGAAGCGTGACTGTGGCCCAGCCAGATGACAGAGTCCAGAGAGAGGGACATATAATGTTATGCAATTGTGGGCAGTAACAAAAATACAGTGTTTCCTATTTTTACTGGAGTAAAAGTGAGATTACAGAAAATTATGTCACAAACAGGCTGTGATAGAAATGCGAGTGTTAAGCCGGGCGGACACTGTGCGACTTTTTCACTCGTAGCACTCAGCTTCAGCTCAAACTGTACGACTTCCTCGCAGGGCAGATCTCACGAGTCATGCGCTCACACTGCACGACCCAGTTCTCGGATGCGACCTGACTGCTCACACTGTACGTCTGGTAGCAACACGTCGGCCCTAAAAATGTGCTAAAAATAGCAGTTTTTACTCAACACGTCAGACTTTTTTGTCTTGTTTTGCCTGTTGTCCTTCGGGAGTGCTGCAGGACACACAGGGATTTATGGGGGTTGGATGAGGAAAACGAAATAAAGAAAGTAAATCTGTGTTTTGTGATCAGTTTAATTTGACATGAACACGACAAACACGCTTTCTTGACAATCTTTGTGAGTAAAAAAACGTGTAGAAATTGAAACGAACTACGTGTGTTATTAGAGAAATAGCGAGCGGTGTTGATGCAGGATTGCGCATGCGCCGTGAGTGGTTCTGATACTTTTTGGGTCGCAGCTGCACGCAGCGCCGCTTCAACAGTGCGATACCCTCACGCGGAACGAGCAAAATATTAAACACGCCAGAAGTTTGTGCGAGCTCACGATTGCTGATCGGTAGCTGGTCACGTGGTGTTAATCGCCTCTCGTAACCCCCTGTATACTACACGACGCTCGGCGCAAAACTCGCCCCGATCTCGTGGATTCTCGCACGAGTGGAAAATCGGCTCAAAAAAGTGAAAAAGTCGCACAGTGTACGCCCGGCTTAAGCTGCACTCAAGCGCTGACTTTAGGGGCTCTCAAAGGAGAATAACATTCACAGGTTCAGAAGAGCTGACGTGTGGCGGTCAGTAACAGAAGCATGACGAACTCAACCTCATTTACATTCATCATTTCATCCAATTTTTACTGTTGTTTCTTTACAGATGAACCTTATGAAGACTTTAGTTTCATACTGGATTCATAAAATAAAATAAAAAAACCTAAACAGGCAGAAAAGTTGGGTGTCATCATCCTCTCTGATCATAAAGCCAAAGTCTAAAACTCCACCTCCTCCGGAGACGTGATGACATACTCTTGATGCTGCACCACCTGTATTCCCTCTTCCATGGCTTCCTCCGTAGTAACCATGGTAACTGTTCCCCCCGTCTCCTCCACGGTACCCGTCGTGGCCAGTAGCGTGCCATCGCTGATGGCTGAGGCGAGAGTCAAGGCCACCTGCTCCGTCAGGCTCTCCGGCGTGGCGATGGTGATGGTGTCGCCGCAGTCGGAGATGGACGCTCCCTCCTCGTCCGCGGCCATGTTTCGCACGATGATCTGGTGGCCTGCTGCGCTGTGCGACTGGCGCACGATCTGCTGAACGACTTTCATGATCTGGTTTCCCACCTTGGAAGTTCATGTAAACAGGAAGTGTTACGTTTACAGAACGCACACTAGTTCTCCGTTGTTTTTGTTGTGTCAGGATACTGACCTCATTTGAGCCGTCTGGAATGAGTGTGACTTCTTCCTGCATTTCCTCCCCGGTGTCAGTCTGAAGGATAAAGATCAAAGCAAAAGGAAACCAACTTAAATGTCATTTTCCTGCAGATCTGTGTGGACTGGAGAAGTCTGACATGATGGCAGGAACTCTTTTAGACTGATCACTAAAAGCAAGAAGAGAGCATATTTTGTATTTATTTATGCTACTGACGATCCAGTGATATAATTATTCTTCATAACCTTTTGTTTTATCTGTTAAACTCAGACATACAGCTGGGTGAAATTAAATTCAAGAATAAAATCATGTTCATAATGTGGTAAATGTATCACTTTAAAAACTTTTTTCATGATTAAAATGCAAAAACCTAAAATAATGAAAGAAACACTTAATAACTCATCTTCAAAAGAATAAAAAATAAAAGTCTAATTTTTCAGGATTTAAATCTTAAATTCACCCAATAGAAACTTGACTGTTTGTGGAGATTGTTAACAAATATGAGTTGAATTTTATTGTGAATTTGTGTTTTAATCTGGGAGATTTAATTAATTTTTTTTAGTATTTTTAATTTTTTTTAACAAAATATAAGATTTTACAAGATATTATTAAATTTATGTAGAAATTCCTAATATTTTTTTCCCTGACTTTACCCCTCATCCAGTTGTTTTTAAGCCTACACCAGACCTGATGAATGCACAGATCTACGAGTCATAAATAGTGTATTTTGGGGTAATAAATGCTTTTGTTTTGCTCTCAAATCAAATCTAACCTGCTTCCAGCTACAGATATAATGGACCAATATTTAATATTATTTTATACAAGCTTCCATCCCTCTTCAATAGGTCAGATTTTGAGTCGGGAACATGAGGATCTCCGGCGAGGAAGTCTCAGAAACGACAGGTTTGTTGCTCTGACGCTGCCGAGTCAAGTGAACTAAAGTAATTAATTTATAGTTCACATGCAAATGTTGTGAACTATTAGTAAAATGCAAATAAAACTGGATGAACTTTTAACATTTTGTTTTTATTTGTACAATAAAGTTATATTTATTTTACCTAAATGTATGTTTATGTTCCTGGAGAACATCTGCTGAACAAATGCTGTAAAACATTGGAGTTGATATTATTGTTTAGCGCTTTTGTTTATTTATAGGTTGGTCAGTTTGTTGGTTTATTTGATTAACTTTGGTTTAATATTTGATTTTAATACTGAGCACAGATTAAGACCCAACAGTTCTGGTTCAGAAATATGCCTCCATCTCCTCTGATTGTCACCAGCAGGAGCCGACTATGACCTCCTCACATCTGCAGTAGCCACGTTAAATTAAGTGAATGTGATTTCCAGCAACTACACACTTGTCATCACCAGTAGCGAGGCTCCATCTGTTCATCGCTACAAAGAAATCTGCAACTGCATGCAGGTAACCCACAGATGACCTTCCCACCTTGATTATATACTCCTGTGTGTCAGCCACCACTGAGGAGAACTCCACTAGGACAGCATGAGGATCATCTGAGATGACAGTCGCGGTAGTGAGCTTGTCCACCGAGGCCTTCTCCTCTGACGTGGCGTTGTGTTGTTCACTAGAACCTTCCTTGTGACAGCCTCCTGATGTAAAAGAGCATGTCGGGTCATGTTGTGTCCCCGTAGCACACACCTGACTGACATCTCTGGGTTTAAAGCCTGATTTATGCTTCTCCGTCTGCGTCAGTGCTGAGACACGCAACGCCATTATCCGTCCTTGCGTAGGGCACGCAAGTACGTACGGAGTCGAGTCCACTTTTTTAAACATCCGTCGAACGAGACGGATTACGCAAGTTTGTGATTGGTCAGGACGCCGCTGTTGTTTACAGCGCCGCCATTGCAAAGAGAGCCGAGGATAACTAGCGGCAGACACGGAGAAGCTTGAAGAATACCTCGCGAAAAAACTCTAAAAATATGAACCTTTAATTCTCCCGCGACTGGAGGAGTGAAAAGATGCGCAGCAAGCGTTTTATTTGTGGACGGAAATGACAGGAAACGTGGGTTTAGAGGCGGGGAGCGCATGAAGAGGTGGGAGAATGAGAGACAAATATGTCCGTGTTAAAAGTCTCTTATATACACAAAAAACACAATATAAACGCATGATCTTGGACCGATACATGAGAGGATACCACAGAACAGCGCTACGCCCTCTGCTGTCCTGCCGGGGAATTGCTTTGCAACACTCTCCAGGAGACGGAGAAGTATGAGAGCAAAACGCTTCCGTCAATCCATGCGTGTCTGTCCCTTGCGGAGCTGACGGAGAAGCATGAACCAGGCTTAAATCTGTCCATCACTGACCTTTAGCACGCAAGTGACGGTTGAGAGTCCCGTGTTCGGCAAAGCCCCGCCCACACTTTGAGCACTTGAAAGGCTTCTCTCCCGTGTGATGGCGGATGTGTCGCACCAAAGAGCCTTTTTCTCTGAAACCTCTGAAGCAGAACTCACACACATAGGGCTTCACATCCCCGTGGGTCCGCTGGTGAACCTGTAAGGCATTCTGATCGCAACATGGGAGAAATGTTAAAGCTTTCATGTTGATAGGAGATCCAAAACTTGTTTGAAATTGATGCTGCCGAGTCACCTTGGTCTTGTATCCTTTGTTGCATCTAGCACAATGGTACGGTCTTTCATCAGAGTGGGCCCTCATGTGTTCACGCACATGTCCAATGGTTTTATACAGCTTGCCACACTCCCCACACTTATACCTCCTCTCACTGACATGGACCTCCATGTGCTTCTTCAGCAGATAACCAGTTAGAAACTCTTTATGGCACAGAATGCATTTAAAGGGCTTAAAACCTGCACACAGGAAAACACACACTGAATGTATTTACACAGATCTGCATCTAAACTCTCTGCAATCACTGTCAGCAGAGTGAAGAGAATCATCAAGTTTTCATACAGTCTCACCTAAATGACCTTTGACATGAAAACGGAAATAATTCAAGCCCTTAAATGACCGGCTGCAGTGAGGACAGGTGTACAGCTTCGAAGATCCCCGTTCATCACCTGCTTCCTGCCCACAAAAGTTAAAACAAATCTCTTAAGACGACCATCTTAGATTAAAAGTTTGTAATCGAACAATCACATGATACTCGCACCTCCTCCACCTCTGGCGGTTCTTCTTTAACTTGGATCTCAATGATGCTCTGATCGCTTTCAGGATGGTCAGACGCCATTTTCTCCTCCGCGGTGGTCGGTGAAGCCTCCATCAACACCGTTTCCTCCGTCTCCATAGCGATGCCAGAATTGATGATCGCCTGGCAGATGAGGTTGTCTCCGGCTGCAGCGGCAGCAGCAAGAGCTTCTGCCTGAGACTGTTGAACCACCACCTGATCAGGCCAAGGCAGCGGTTTGAAAACCAAACTTTAGACAAACGTATGAGGCCGTTTCAAATGTCTGGTCTCACCTGTTGCTCCTGTGTGGTTCCATCCACCTCCACTGTGAAGTGAACCCGTTGTAGGACCTCTTGGGAATCAGCTTCTACCACGCTGACTACAGCAGTCTGAGCCTCCATCTCCTGCTCCTCCGGCTCCGGCTCATGCTCCACAACCACAACATCTTGTTGGACTGGCACTGCAACACGATTAGTTTCAACCCCTGAATAACAACACAAACCCTCAAGATTTATCATTTTGTTTGATATTCCAAACTAAAACAATCATTTAGCCAACACACCTTTCTGCACTCCATCCTTCCTGACTATTATTTCATTACACTGAAAAAAGCGGATCTTCTCCGTGCAAGGAGTCAGAGCTTTCAGGTGTCTGGTGAGAGCTCCGGACTCTCTGAAGCTCTGTCCACATAGATTACATCGATACGGCCGCTCATCTGAAGAGAGGAGAAAACAACTCATTCATTGTCAGAAACATACATTACAGCGTATCTGCAGAGTTAAGGAAGCGCTTTTTTTAAAAAGATCTTACATTCTCAACATAAAACTCAAAAAGTTCTGTCCAAACTGAACTGAAAGTGCAGAAAAAATAAGATAACATCTAGGCAATTGCTCTGCAGAAGATGAAAGTGCATGCAATTTCTAAAAAAATTAACACGGCAGTAAACCTGCTCTTCCCCATGGCTCACGCACCACTAGCTAAAGCGGCTAACGTGCATACCTGAACACGTCGGTCCTTCCCCTTATGCTAGTCCCACATACAATCTAGGTTTTTGGTGACGTGTGGTATTTTTAAGACTTTTCGACTGGACTTAAGGATTGCCATTTTTAATGCCTTAAATGGGGAAAATCTAATTTACGGCTTTTTAAGGCTCTGCAGATAGCCTTCATTAGCAACATGAACCAGCATAGCGTGATGTTAGCTCACCAGTGTGGCGGCGGTTGTGACGTATTAGAGAACCTTTGGTGCGAAATGAGGTCCCGCAAAGTTCACATGAGAAGTTCTTCTGGTCGCTGTGTGTTTTCACATGAGTTCTCAAGATGTTTGTCTGTGGAGTCAAAAATATTTAGCATATGGGCACAACGACAAGGTACAACCCAACTGACTTGGTCATTTTCCCAGAAAGTAAAAGTGCCGACTCACTGTTTTAAATGTCTTTTGACAAATGGGACAAATATAACGTCCTTCCTGATTGACACTGTGGGACAGAGTGTCACTGTCAGCATTGCGAGATGCTAATTTTACACTTGGATCAGACTGCACTTTCAGTGAGGCCACTTTCTTCCTGTGGCCTCGACCCAACTGGCCACTGATTTCATCTGGATCAAAAGAGACAAAACATCAGTCCAGCAACACATCAAGTACACACCTACAATTAAATCTGCAGACTAAAAACACGACTAGAAATAAATGACCAACGATAAACTCTGCAATCATTCATTTAAAGGTGTAATAAGGGATGATAAAACTGACCCACCATCAGAGATCACTACTGGTTTATCTGCTTCTGCCCTTTTCACCTCTGAGGAAGAACTTCCATTTTCAGCAGTGACCTGCATATATGAGGACACCAATGCTACTTCTCTTGATGCCGTTTAGACTGATTTATCCACACAGCCCCACCCAGATAGCTCCTACCTTTTGGCCGCCATCCTGACTAGCATTCTGAGCCTCCACACGTTTGCAGCCGTGCTGCAGTTTGTGCTGGATGAAAGCCTCAAGGGTGGAGAACTCGGACTGGCAGCGACCACATTTGTGCACATCATCTAGTAGCACAGAAACGGACCCAACCAGCATGAACCAATATCATAATTAGTGCCACAAACTGATTACTGTTTAATGTATTCGTGTCTGATTCACCCCAAACAGTGTGTACTTCCACCTAAAAATACGAAACTATGCTGCTCGTGTCAGTTAGCTGTTAGCTAGACATCACCTCGGTGAAAGTTAGCGTAGCCCAAACGCGTTAAATGATAAACAAATTCGGCTTGTTTGATACAGCCAGGTGACAAACCTTCATCTCCTAGTGTGGTCTGAATAGTGATGGTCTCGTTGCCGTTCTTCTCTGTTTCTGCCGTATGATTATTTTCCACATTCATGTCGTTTGAATTCTCCGTCTCTGTCGCAACGCTGCAGCGGGGAGGGAAAACATGGCGGATTACGACCCCGTAGTCATAACAACAAAAGGGCGCGTGCATGATTCTCTCACAGCTAATAAAGTGAAATTAAACATTTCTGATTTCGTTTTAGTCACCTTAATTTTTTCTTCAGTAAAATAGACAGGATTCACTCTGCTGCGTTGCTTTCATAGGCTATGATTTTGGCCAAATGTTTCTCTACAAATAAATTATTGTTTTTCATTCAGCTACAGGAAGGCACTTTTTATATTTAGAATGAGCAACAGAGAAAAGTAATGCTATTTGTTGTAGGAATAAAATGAAATATTACTTATGGACGTCTTCATGTCCAGTCCTACAACTAACAAGTGTTATTTGGGCAAATGTTAAAAACAAACAAACAAACAAAAAATAAACATTTTTACATCTCTGATATTTACATTTCATTTGTTCCATTGTTACAGAGAAAGTTAAATATACATTTTTTTGGTACTTATTATTAAAAATTTGATAGTTTGTCATTTGACCAAAATGAATGATAATTTAACATATGATAAGAGGTATTTAGTTTGATCACGCCTGTCTTGTAACCATAGACTGTACAGCTTGTAACCCAGTATTCACGACACAAGAGTAAACAACAACTTTACGGTAGTAAACATGGCTTCCCACTTCAGCGGAGTCTTGCAGCTAACAGATCTCGATGATTTTATCACTCCTTCTCAGGTCGGTCACTGAAATAATGTGAAATTAAGTCATGTATTGGATTAATTACAAGTGGGTGAAACAGTAATTATGAACAATTCACCGGTCGTGACATTTAGGGAACAATTGACGGATTAATTATGGCGATGTAGCAGCTAGCACACGATTAGGCTTTTCGTAGAGAGAAACTTCTCATAAAATATAGGAACATTGAGTATTGGCTGAAGCTCATCACGAGTCGATGATTACTTTTTGATTTGTAACAAGTTGTAAAGTTTTACTTTTTTAAAACTATGGCGTAATTACGTCACTAGTCCATACCGTAACCTGTGTAAAGACAAATTAAATCACTGAAATAAAACACTTTCAAAGACTAAATTAAATCAATCGTATTGGCTGACATATTCAGACATTTTTAAACACACTAAATGTCAGTTATAGGCAAATAAAGACAAACTATATTTTAGCTAGTTCTTTAGAAGAAGAAGAAAATATTTCTATAGTGCCTCTCAAGATAAAAATCAGGAGGCGCTTCACAAAAACAAAATATGTAAAAATATAAAAACGAATTTAGAAAATGGTTAAAAATATATTTAAAATGTGCAAGAAATAGACACTAGTGATTAAAAAACAAAATGTTAAGAAAGAGAGAGAGAGTGAGTAGGAAAGAGGGAAATCAGTGGATCCTGAGGAAGGTGGAATAGGTGGGGAGAGCAGAATAAAGAGAGAGTGGTGAAGAAGGTCATACCAAAGCCAGCTTGAACAAGTGTGTTTTCAGCTGCTTTTTAAATGAGACCACTGAGTCCACTGATCTCAGACTCAGGGGGAGAGAGTTCCAGAGTCTGGGGGCCACAGGATGTGCTGAAGAGGGAGCAGATAGAGGAGGAAGAGCAGAGGCCCCAGCACAGAACCTTGTGGGACACCATGGGTAAGAGAGGTGGTGGAGGACCTAAACTTGGAGACGGCCACAGAAAAGGAGCGCTCAGAAAGATAAGAGGAGAACCACCCCAGAGCAGATCCTGATAGGCCTACCCAGTCTCTCAGCCTCTCCAGTAGCAGGTGATGGTCAACAGTGTCAAAGGCTGCAGTCAGGTCCAGCAGGACCAGGACAGAACAGTCCCCTGCATCACTGTGAGTCAGAAGGTCATTAGAGACCCTAAGAAGAGCTGTTTCAGTAGAATGAGCTCTACGAAAACCTGACTGTAAGCTATCATAGATGTTATGTTCATCAAGAGCAGCTGTGAATTGTTTAGCCACAACCTTTTCCAAGATCTTGGAGATGAACGGAAGTTTAGAGATGGGTCTGAAGCTGCTATGGAGAGAGGGGTCAAGACTCGGTTTTTTAAGAAGCGGATGGATTACAGCATTCTTAAAGTAAGCAGGGACCTGACCAGAAACCAGAGAAGCATTATTTATAGAGCGCACGCTGGGACCGATGGACTGAAAAGCAATTTTAAACAAAGATGAGGGTAAGATGTCGAGGGGGCATGCAGAGGTCTTCATAGAGTTAACTAGTTTGGTTAACTCAGGCAAAGAAACAGGAGCAAAGCTATCTAGGATGATGGGCCTGGTTGGAGTCGGGAGAGGCAGCGGTAAGGCTGAAGGAGAGGTGCTAGATCTAACCTTATTGACTTTGTCCACAAAGAAAGACAGAAAGTTCTCACAGTCTGCAACAGAGTGGATGGAGGCTGTAGGAGAGGCAGGAGAGACAATGCTGCTGATGGTGTTAAACAGCACCTTGGGGTTCCCTTTGTTTTTATTAAACAATTGAAAAATTGAGGACACTCTCAGTATGAAGTAATGAAATTTTTCTTAGACCCAAATGAATCAGTAATGTTTTGTTTTTTCTTATGAAAACAGATAATTTTGTGTAAATTTTACAGTTTTTCAGATTATTCTCCCCATGCAATAGTGCTTAGTCATATTTCTCAGATGCTTTTGGATGTGATGATTGATCTCATTTACAATAGCGGTTTACACATTGGTGTGTTTTCCAGGAATGTGTTAAACCAGTCAAAGTAGAGAAGAAACAGGGTAAATCTGTGGCCAAAATCCAAATAGAAGATGACGGCAGCTATGTGCAGGTCAACCAGGTGGGTATCCTTGCTCAGTCTTTAATCAGTTTGAGAATTATTAAACAAAGTTTGAATGAACACACCCTGTGTTTACAGGATGGTGGGAAGCAGAAGCTGGAGAAGGCCAAGATCACACTGAACGACTGTCTGGCCTGCAGTGGCTGTATCACCTCGGCTGAGAGTGTCCTCATCACTCAGCAGAGCCACGAGGAGCTTTTAAAAGTGCTGCGCAACAACAAGGTAGACGTGTGTCTCTGAGCTTGTTCATTTTTGTTTTGCAAGTTTTGCATTCCGTCTAACCTTAATACAATAAGTGTTGTGATTATTTAGATTAACGAAGCAGAAAAGAAGATTGTAGTTGTGTCGGTGTCGCCTCAGTCCAGAGCCTCCCTGGCAGCTCACTACAACCTCAGCAGCAGTGAGGCAGGCAGGAGGCTCACAGCTTACCTCAAAAACCTGGGTGTGGACCTTTTCTGTTTTTATATCATGCAACACCTAAGCAGATAATCTGAAGATTATTCCTGGGGGTGCTTTTGGCAGGGGTTCATTGCGTGTTTGACACCAGCTTCAGTCGGACCTTCAGTCTGTTGGAGAGTCAGAGGGAGTTTGTGGAGCGTTTCCATCGGAAGGAGCAGGACAGCAAGGCCGTTCCCATGCTGACGTCTGCATGTCCAGGTGTACAGCAAAAACATAGCCTCATGAACACTGAACAGAACGCCAGAGCTGCCAGTGCTCCACAGATCGTCATCATAACCAGGATTCTCCTCCTCTCTGTTGTTCAGGTTGGATCTGCTATGCTGAGAAGACACACGGAGACTACATTCTTCCATACATCAGTACCACTCGCTCCCCGCAGCAGGTGATGGGCTCCCTGGTTAAAGGATATTTCGCAAAACAACAGGTGTGATTTGGATTTGGGTTTAATATAAAAATGTGTGTGTTTGTTATGAAAACAGCAGCTGATCCATATGTTATGTGTGTTATAAGGGCCTGAGTCCACAGCAGATCTACCACGTGTGTGTGATGCCCTGCTTTGACAAGAAACTCGAAGCCTCTCGCTCCGACTTCTACATGAGCGACGCAGAGACCCGAGAAGTGGACTGTGTCATCACATCAGGAGAGGTTCAGAGGATGATGGAGGAGGAAAATGTGTCCCTCTCGGATGTTGAGCCTGCAGCTCTGGATACAATGTCAGTTTTAGGGCCATTTGGCTTCATTTTTAGACACATTTTCACAGTAAGCAGTTTAAAATGTTTGTGTATTTCATGCAGGTTCAGCAGCGTGTGTGGGGATGAGTTTCTGAGCCATGCTGGGAGTGGCTCTGGAGGTTACCTCCATCATGTGTTCACCCATGCTGCTAAACAGTTGTTTGGAGAGGAGGTGAAGGAGCTCACCTATAAAACGCTCAGGTGAGTTTACATTCACTGGACGTATGGATAAATAAACGTAAGAATTTCTGCAGCTTATTTGTTTTTTTTGACCAAACAGGAATAAAGACTTCCAGGAGGTGAGACTAGAGAAGGACGGAAACGTCCTCCTCTGTTTTGCCTTGACCTATGGTTTCCGCAACATTCAGAACCTGGTGCAGAAACTCAAGAGAGGAAAGTGTCCCTACCACTTTGTAGAAGTCATGGCCTGTCCGTCAGGTAAAGTGACAGGGTATCTGCAGGTTTAAGGGAGCCAAATTTAAGACTTTTTAAGGCCACTTTGACCAAATTTAAGCAATTATTTAAAATTAAATTTAAGCTATAATTTCCTGCTATTGCCTGGAACCGGTGCTAACCACGTCGCGAACGGATACCCCGAGTGAACGATGAAGATCCGTAATGGGTTTGCTGATCACTGAATGCTCAAAGGAAGAGCTACAAGAATGTCACAAAGGATCGGTATTTGGCAAACAAGTTTAAATATGAAATATTCTCTTTGGCATATTTTTCTGTTTTCTGAGCCTTTTATGTTATTTTCATTTAGTTTTTTGACTATTGGTTGATTATTAGTCTTTGAACCTTCATATACAAGGTATCCACGGGTCCTTAAAAAGTCTTAAATTTGCTTTTCTAATTTTAAGGCCCTAAAAATCCTTACAAATGACAAATAATCCTTATATAAAGTTTCGAAAGGTCTTAAATTACCAAAGACCCAATAAACAAGATTCTTTTATTTCTATAAAATTTTCTTGAATTTCTAGTTAGTGTTCAGCTTTTTTTGTGTATGATGCTGGCGTAAGCGGAACCGTACACATTCAGTTGGCTGTGAAATGGGGCTTTTTTTAAATGAGCACATTAGCTTATTAAGCTAGTGGGAGCTTGTGCCATGGGGAAGTGCAAGTTTAATGATGGCTAATCCCACGTTTGCAACGTGGTTAGCACCGGTTCCAGGCAATAGCTGGAAATTATTGCTTAAATTTAATTTTTAAAATAGCTTAAATTTGGTCAAAGTGACCTTAAAAAAGGTCTTAAAAAGTCTTACATTTGGCCCCCTTAAACCTGCAGATACCCTGATATAACACCACAGTCTAAAGTGTCTGTTTATAATAATCAGCCTCTCAGTTTATAAGGCGAAGGCCGGAGCATCATGGGCTGCAGGTGTGCCTCTTGTAGATGTTTGCTGATCATCCCTTGTTCTCCTCCAGGTTGTCTAAACGGTGGAGGTCAGGTGAAACCCTCAGCTGGTCAGAACCAAAAGGAGCTTCTTCAGAAGGTGGAGGAGCTCTACAGGGTGGACCGCCCCCTGGTGCCAGAAAGTGACCCTCGTGTGGCTGACCTGTACCACAGCTGGCTGAACAGTTTGGGAGAAGACGGTGCGAAAGAGCTGCTGCACACGCAGTACCATACGGTGGAGAAGATGACCAACGGGCTCACCATGAAGTGGTGATTAGTCTTTGTTTGCAGGTGTTGTAAATCTGGACATCTGTCTCTTCAGAGACGAGTTGTTTGACTTATGTGATGTCCTTTAAATGACCTTCTCCTGTGTGCCTGATAAACCCTGTGATTTATGATTATTAGTAAATAATTCTTGTCTGTGTGCTGCCTGTTACTAAGGAACAGACACATAAATTTTCTATTTAAGGATCGATGTAAATACACTCTAAAAAATAAAAACCTTATTTAACTACAACTGTTTGTTGTGTAATCCGTTTTAAAGAGCAACATCAGATTATACAATCAGAATGTTTATTGTTCATTAATGTACAGTTTGGGAGTTAACTTTGAGTGAAAAGCAGACATTTACATTAAGACTTATGCATTCTTATTACATAAAGTAAATACTCGTTTCAAAATTGGTAATGAAAGTAAACCGTAAGTTTTACATGTTAGGTCAGAAACGAGGTGTGTATTTGAAAACCAAAAAAAGTGTATCCATTCTGAAACGCTTAAGAAAACGAGTTACCCCAAAAAATTCCTACATAACTCAGAAAACCAACAATAATTATATTTGTTCCCTAAATAAACATTATTCAAATACCCGTGCCAGCTTCATCCTGTCAGTTCCACTGATTACCAGCCTTGTGCCATTAAGCTATAGCTAAGAGAGCAGCGCTAAGAAGGAAATGTTTTAGGTGTTTGTTCGGTCGCTAACACACCGGTGTGGTGTCAAAATAAAAGCCTCATCTATGTCCTAGAGGTCGTACCAGACGACTTAAGTTCCACGATGTGAGCGGTGTATGATCGGATAGGAACACGAATGGAAGAAGAGACACACTAGTGTCTTTGTGCAGACGTTGTTTAGATCATCCTTTAAGGCAGAGGTTCCCCTTACTTGTGTCAAACACAACTCCTACCCACATGCACTCAATAAAAGTGATTTATCACAAACTTTATACAGACATAAAGAGTAAAAGTTCTTGTACAGAGGTATGTTATTGAGATTCTAGAAATGTAATTTTTACAAATTTAATCTGGGTAACCTCAACCTCAGCAGACAAAGCTGTGGGGACGCCCTGCTATCCTGGGGGATCATGAACCCGAGGTTAGGAACCACTGCTGAGACAAATACTTCATACAGCAATCTTTATGTGAAGCATTTACCTAAAAGGGCCATATTAAGCTAAACTCACCTTTTATGTCCTTTTGTGGGTCTCTACATCCTCTATAAACACTCGAAACGTCAAATTTTTTTTGGAATTGTATGCCTAAAGTAACCTGTTAAACCAAAAAAAATCCCTGTTTGTTAATAGAACCACCTCCCATGTGCAAGAGAGAGCCACAGCTGGAGGAGCGGAAGCTCCACAACAAGCCTCTCCTGGATATCAGAGCTTCTCAGCTCAAAGCAGCATGAGTGGGGGTTTGGGTGGGTGTGGCAACCTCCAGCTTGTTTACTTAACTCGGGAGTTGGCAACCCGCGGCTCTGGAGACGCATGCGGCTCTTCCATCCATCTGATGCGGCTCTCTGTGCTTGTAAAATAATGACTGGATATTTAAATAAAATGCTTTATATTTTACTGCATAAATTTTACATCTGTATGCTAATTCTAAATGTAAAGATTGTCTGCGTAAACCTGAACAGTTCCAACCCAGTCTGACTGTGAGACCGGGTTGACGGGTCACGCTTGTGCGTAATCATATGCGCTTCTGAGCTGACGAGGATGTGAGATTCTGGGATTCTCCTCAGACAGGCTCATGGATGCGACGCCACATTGGAGACGGGAACAAGTGCTATTCAGCCAAAGTTTCATAATCAGGGAACATTTACTAAGTGACAAGTCTCTCTGAGAGACCGGGTTTTGAAAACGCTCGCTTCAGTCGGAGGAATCTTCCCGCATGCGCTCTGGTTCTGCGACGCGCTCCAAGCCTCTCTCCACATCTTCAGCTCGCTGTGTACCTTATGTAGTACACGCTGACAGCGAGCTGCGCTGAGCAGTGTCCAGCTCAGATGTTCAGAAGGAAATCTTTCCTTGGGTGATTTAGCTACATCTGCGATGTGCGAAACAAATAAAATATCAGTTCATCTGCATGCGTCGGGGTAATTCTTTCTATTTTTCTCCGTCAAAATAAACGGCCAAATATGGGAACTGTCCGGTCAACACAAGCCCTGCTTTTAACTGTTTTGTTTTCTTGTGAAAAGTATTGCAAAGAGATAAAATTTAACTTGATTAACACCAGAGCCAGGAGCACTGCGCCGTTATCTCCGTCGCTGTAAATGAGGGAAAAACAAAATTATCGGATCCTTTTCTGACCTTCCCCACCTACAAAGTTTAATTACAACAATCAAATGTGACAGAGCCTGGATTTGTATTCTGAACGGTCTAAACATGTTTTAAAAAGAAACGTATGACAAAAGTGGCACCTGCTCAGTAAAACCACCAACAGGGTGAAAAATATCAAAATATTGTAGGTAGAGACGGGCTACAACATCTGGATCCACTTTATATAAATCGTTTTATTGATTATCGTCTTATGAAAGATAACTTTTGACGTACACGAGCGACTGGTACCGGCTGCTGTCACCTGTTGTGAGCAGCTCTCTGCTGTCTGAGGGTAGGCCCCGCCCACAACGCCGCGGCTGCTGTGGCTCCCAGTGTTTTCTTTACTGTGGGAAACGGGTAATAATGGCCCTTTGATGGGAACCGGTTGCCGACCCCTGACTTAACTCATTCACAAACAGCCCTTTCCTGATCAGAAAAGACCTTCACTGCCAGCGTTTTTCAGTGTTTTACTATTTTTTTAAGAGTCACAGAGCGTTGTGTGGTAGGATTATGTCAACGCCAAAACTACCAAAACAAAGAGTAGACTCACCTCTTAGATCAGGAAGAATCTGCGCATTTCGAGCATTATCCGTTCTTACCTAATCCGTTGTTGAATTGTGATTGGCAGAAGCCTTTCCGGTTCACGCCTGACCTTTTTTTACAGCAGTGGCCCAAAACGATCTCCTAACCCCTTCTTTCCACTGCTCCTGAGACGCGGCCGACTCGCGCTGCTGACGGCTCCGGTGGAAAAGGTTCTGTTGACCACAGCAGTTCCTATCAGCAGCTATGACGTGCTGCTGCAGTAACGTGCTGCTGACGACTCCGGTGGAAAGAAGGGGTAACACATGGATTTTCTGCTTCCTGATCACGTGGTGTGTGACGTACACGGATGAAGGTCCGCTTTAGCGCTGAGATGTTTGTTCTCACAGTGCAGGAGCTCATTCCAATGCCCACACAGTAAAAAAAAAAAATGCAGATCACGACTTTTGTTGTCAATAGCAGTGAATGAGTTAAAGTGACAGAGCCCTGAAACGGCTCATTCTGGAAGGTACAGAAAATGTCATAAATAAAACTGCTGAGATTGCTTTATGTGAGAGGAATTTTATGCAAAGAAATTCATGAACGTGTTTGTTACAGACCATAAAACTATTATAACTTAAGAAAAAAAGTCATTATATGTCTCCTTTTAAAATGGAAACAAATGACCTGTAGAGGTGTGAACATTGGTTAAGTATTGTAAACCCAGATTCTATGAGTCTAGTTGCAGCCCTTAACAGGGGCGGTTCTAGACCAAATTTTCCAGGGGGGCCACAGTGGGGCCAGTATTTTTTCATGGGGGCGTAAGAAAAAAAAATCATAATAAGAGACAATGAACAAGTAAACTATTATGGCGAATGCAGTAATGGTTTACTTGTGAAAGTAAAACTGGCATGTTTTTATGGTACTCAGATAACAATTCTGAATGCTTCACCGCAACACGAGACTTGAGTAAAAAAAATAATTCTAGTTGATTATTATGGTTTGTGACTTTATTTGAAGATTATATAAACTGTACATATGAAAAATAAACATTCAAACAAATAAAATATCTGCACAATACAATTTGCTTTTTGTAGTCCACACACTCACTCACACACACACACACACACACACACACACACACACACACACACACACACACACACACACACACACACACACACGTAAGCAAAATCACTTCACCAATTGTTTAGATATACTCACGACTTTCTTTAACCTTTTACTGTGTTCCTTGTCGAGTATATTAGCCAATGTTGTATTAGCTTTCACAGCCCTCTGGTAGTCCCTCCACGCTATCATTGAATCCTTATGCCTTTCAGATTTGCATGTACTGAAAACCCCCCTCCTCTCTCAGTTGCTTTTTTCCAGTTCCTAAATCCACATTGAGAGTCAAACACACTTCCTGGGCTACTTGGTGAGCTAAAATGTCTGCATGCATGACAATAAGTAGAGTCCATAGTAACAGAATATTCAACCCAAGGATGACTTTCATACCAGCTTGGCTGAAAGCTGCGTCTTCTGTCTCCTATTAATGTCACTGGAAATGCCCTCAAATGAGGCTGAGTAGGTGGGTCATCCTTGCACTTGCTGATATCTGAAAGAAAATAAATGTTAGCATGAGGATAAAAGCCATAATTAGTTAATTCAGAGTCTTATTTTATCTATTTATTAAATATAAACAACAGAAATTTTGGACCAGAGTCAGCATGCCTCAAATGCATTTTACACACAATATGAGCTGCAATCACAGAGGGGTTATTCAACACCCACAAACCTGACGGTAGTGCACACGGTGCACATGACCGAAGATGTCCCTCTTTTTGCTCCTCACTCTCTCCCTCACAGCCTACATCTTCCTCCTCACTCTCAGGGTGGACAGCCTCTGACCTCTCTGGTTCCTCTCCAACCAACTTCTCCTTCTCTCTTTCATCCTGCTTCTCAGCTCCCTCGTGACTTTCATCCTCTCTCTGTCTACGCTGTTCTTTATTAACAGCGGTAAAAAAAAGGACAAAATGTCCATTTTTCTTTTCATGGCCGCTGATGCTTCCAGTCAGTGCTGCGAGAAAGTCATAGAAAAATGAATCCTGTGATCTAATCTCAACGTGTCTAAGGCTTAAAATGCAGAAACTTCATTTTTATTTTACAGTTAATGTTACAAAGGAACAACAAGTCAGTATTAACTGTGGATAGACTCAGTTAGGAACTTAAAAGTAAATGACAGAAACGCGCGACTACGATCAAAACACTGATGTCAGGAAAATAAACTGTATTGCTTACCTTCGTCTCTTAGCGTCTTTTCCATTTGGCGTCCTGAAGAACTTCTTCGGGTCCCATTTAAACTATTTTTAATCTTTTATTCAAAAATCCACCAGGTAAACAGTTCTGTCCACAG